GTGTTTTTTGAATAGATTAAATATTCTCCTGTTTTTAAACGAGCCTCTTGTTTATATCTTTCACTTAGACTACTGACTAAGGGAAATATTTATTTTCCTTTTTCATCTTCCTAAAACTCTAGCCTGCAGTCTATCATCTGGTGGACATCGTTCTTATCTCTTGTCAGTGTGTGGGTGGTGTGACAGTTGGGGTACATTTGTCTCTAAGTAACAAAATACTGACTAGAAGTCACAAATTACTATTGTGCTTAATGAGAAGGCGGGGAGGTGGGCAGTCTCAGACTGCAGCATGGCTCTGCATGGGACAGGAGGAAGGGGAGTGCAGTGCAGTTCAGAGGTGGGCTCAGCCGGGCAGGAGGAGCCCCAGAGTGCAGGCTGTCTCGGAAGAATTGGCCGAAGTGGCTTCTGACAAGCTCAGTCATTGACTTCTGGCACCCTGGAGGAAGTGTGTCCTTGGCATGAGCATGGTGGCAGACCCGATGTGGAGAGCCTGATGAGAGAGCAGCTGGAAGCAGTCATCCCTTCTAGCAGGTTCTCTTGACACCACACACTTGTCTGTCACCCTGCACTTCTTTCCTTGACCTCTCTCACAGCTTCAGTATGTCCACTGCAGTCTTCTCCCCTCTGTCCAGCTACTTTAAGGTGGGATTCCACAAGATGTAGTTCTAGGCCATCTCTTCTGTTTACTTTCCCCCTAGGCCATTTAAAGGAAGCCTGTGGCTTCACTTCTTACTCTTAGGGAGATGACTCATAAATAACCTTAAGGGCTGGGGACTTAGCTCAGTGGTGCCATGCCTGCCTGGCAAGCACAAGGTCCTGAGTTCAATTCTCGGTACTGGGAAAAAAAAAAATCCCTAAACTTGTCTAAATTCTTGATCTTTAGAGTCTTCTGCCCATGTGATATATTTTGAGTATCTTAAAAGTCAACTCAGACTCAACATTATTCAAAACTGAGATGTGAGTTGCTCTTCAAATTTAGCCCTTTTCCATTGTTTTCTAGGTGAAAGATTCCATCATCCATCCAGTTACCTAAATTGGAATTTCATCCAGGAGTAATCTTTTATATCCCTCTCCACTTTCTTTATTCTATTACTACATCCTGACCATTTTTCTTTTTAGTATGAATAACCTACCCACCATTCTCTACCACCATTCTCTACCTACCATTCTCTGCCACTATCTAGTCTTAGTTTGTGCTAGCTTAGTGTCATGGTGTAGTCAGTCTGAACCTAGTCAGGAGAGAGAAACTATATAGTAATCTGATCAAGAAAAGTTTTAACTTAAACTTTTTAATGGGGGGATTGGCTGGAAATAAGTACAGTGAACCCTAAAGCATGTAGGAGTAACATTTAAGGAACAGACACTACTCTGGGGCTGTCATAGAGTGTCCGAGGCTGAGACCCAGGCCCTCTGGAACTTGTTACAAATCTGCTTTGGGCAGAGTACATGGCTCAGTGGTAGAGCATGGCTACTTGGCATGCATGAGGCCCTGGGTTACATCCTCAACATCCTTCCCATCTGCTGAGGATTCTGTTTTGTAGTGCTTTGAGGAAAGCTTTTTATTCACAAGAGGAGTATTGCTGGAGGCACTGTGCCACAGAACTGTTGCCGGAGAGGAGAGTGCCGGTGAGGCTGCTGGGTACCAAGTGTGCTCCAGGATCCAGCCCTAGCCAGTCTTCAAGTGCTACAGGAGCCCGACGGTGGAGACAGCTGCACATGCTGCTTTCAGATGAGCATATTGGAGCCAGGAGGCAAAACCCTTTCTTCTGCAGTGTCCCTTCAGTGCCACCTTCTGACAAGAGCCCCAGTTCCAGCTGGCAAGAAATCTAAAGGCACAGATCCATTTTCATAGAAATGAATTTGGAGCTGAGGCAATAAATTGATAGCTGGCACAGTCCATCCCTTTGCAAATTTAGCTTCCATACAGGCCCTTCTGCATACTTTTGAATTCCTATTCAACAACAAATAGTTCATGTTTGTGCCTCACAAAATACACCCACCCTTCTTAGGTGTGAACAAGTTTTCACTCTCCCAAAGTGAGATGCAGTCCCAAGAGTCATTCTGTCATTGCTGTCTACATTAACTTGCAACAACTTGTATGAAAAAATAAAAATGGGAAGAGGAGTTAAAAATGGTTAGCATATATAAATCATCACGTGTAACAAACAAATGGAAAATAAACATAGGCAGAAAAGGCAGGTCCAGTATTTTCCTATTCTCCTGAGGATGAATCTCTGCTTCTTCCATAATGGAAGATGAAATCATTGTAGCTGGCTGGACCCCATGAGGATGGCGCCGCAGCATTAATCTCTGCTGTTGGTAAACTAAACAGCAGTACTCATCAGGCTGGAAGGGCCAGTCCATTCTATGGATTACCCCAGTTGATCCCATGCATTACTCTGCCCTGCCACCCTGGCTCATGGGCTCACTGGGCAAGCACTGAGGCAGGCTGGTGGAAGGCTGCTGATACCCACAGATTGTGTACCCTGTGTACACTGGTTACTAAGAGTGTTCTCTGCAGTGGATACCTTTTGGTGGGCATTCATGTGGCACACGAACATTTTCATGACACACTCATTTAGGGAGGTTGGTCCATATGTCTTCCTCATACTTCCTTTTCACCAATCTTTTGGGTTCAGTTCCATTTGAATCCCTAATCACTTAGTCAAACTATGGGGAACTTGCCATGAATTATTCTAGATCCGTATTTCTGGCCATCACACAGTCTTAAATACAATGAATAATCAAAGTCTCAAAACATAGGAAGATACTACTGTTCTTCAGAGTTAGTTATTTTTTTGTTATGTTTTGTTTTGAGACAGGATCTTGCTATGTAGTTCAGACTGGCCTTGAACTAATTTGCAGTAATCCCACCTCTGCCTCCTGAGTGCTAGGATAACAGGCATGCACCACATGTCTGGCCACTCAGATTTAGAGTGGGGATGAAGTGCTACAGGTGTCCACTTGTGGGTTGTACTAGCTCGTTGTAAGAGCCCATTGTCATCATTTTTTTGTTGCTGGGATACAATATTGGACACCAACAAATTAAAGAAGGAAAGATTTATTTTGGCTCACAGTTTGTAGAGGTTTCAGTCCAGATTCGGGGCTCCAAGGGAGGATGGCGTGGCACAGGGGCCTGGCAGAAGAGTACTTGCTTACTGCTTGGGAGCCAGGAAGCAGAGAGAGTCAAGGGAGGAGGTGAAAGAGAGATGGAACCTTCCACAGTGACTCTTCTCTTGCAACCGGGTCCCACCTCCTAACAGCAGGCCAGCCATACCATAATCCAGTCACCACCCAAAGGTTGCACCTGTGATCCCTTGGGCTTCAGGGGGCCATCTATATAGAAACCCCAACACCCATCTACTAACCAGAGTTTTCTCTTCCTCAGTCAGCTGAACACCCCAGGAGAGAATAAATGGATGGAGTGACGGGTTGATGTCAAGGAATCTGAGCCATCTGCATGGGCCCTCTGCCATTATCATTTTAGTCTATGTTACTGGAGTTTCTGTTTGCAACAGAACGGACCTCCCTGTATTCTTTTCCTCCTATCTCTAGTTCATGCCTGCTTTTAGCCTGAACTAATCTTTATTTCTTTTTTTTTTTTTTGGTACCGGGGATCGAACTCTGGTCCTTCTACTTGCAAGGCAGGTGGCGGAACCACTGAGCTAAATCCCTGGCCCTAGCCTGAACTAATCTTTTAAAACAAATCTAAGCACACCTGGCCTCCCTACTTTAAAAAGCACTTCTTTGGCTTTTAGGGTTAAGATTGAAATCTTAGATGCTGGTCTTGTTTTTTAGGAAGTTTGTGATTGTTCTTGATCCCAGGCTCACAACCTTCAGTCTGTTGCTTGGCTGTGCTACAAGACACAAAATGTCATGAGGTGACCAACAGTGATGGTGGATACCTGTGTTTATTGACTGGGGAAGGTTATTGTCAATGAACAGTGTGCTTTTTCTCACCCTTTTACCTCTTCTTTTTCCTCCATGACCTCTCATATCCTCTTATATCCTAATGTGTACCTCTATAGCCCCTGTTGCACCTAGGGAATTTATTTTTTCCCTGTGTTTGCTTGATGAATGCATTTTCCTAACTAGGTTCTTAGTCTAGTTCCAAAGGACAGGAACTGTTTGTTTTGTTCCCAGTCCTAGGGAAATGCTTGATACTTGGGAGTCAATCACATTTGTTGAATAATATGACCGTGCTTGCCTTGCGTTGTGCTTTTGGATAATTTTGTGTTTATGCTCTCCCAAGATGACAGCAATGCATAGTCACTTAAGAGCTTAAGGTCCTTTAGGTGACATATGGCTTGCTTCCACCTTGGCCAGCTGAGTGGGGCTTGGCCCGAGTGTGCCCACAGCCACGATCCCAGCACGCACTTTCTCTTCAGAGACCTCAAACTGGCCAATCTGAACCACAGATAAAGAAGTTCATGCTTTCTAAGCATGACCTCAAACCCAGAAATTACAAAGGAATGTGTAACACATCTTAAGGTTAAGATACATGCTAGGGAAAAATTTGCAACACAAGGCAGTAAATAAGTGAATATATCTAGCACTTTTGTACTGGCAAGACGATATGATAAATATCCCAATGGGAAGTTGGGCAGAAAGCCCAAGTAAACATTTCACAAAGTGAAATATAAATGGCCAATAAACATGTAGATAATATTTATTTCGGAACTAAAGACATGCAAATTATAACCATAAGAGGTCACTTTTCATATATGGATTAGCAAAGATATGAAAGATTGCTGATACCCAGGTTTGGTGAGAATGGCAAAGGCACTTGTTTACTATAAGGATAGAAGCTGGCTCTTCTTGTACAGATGACCAACTTGGTAATATGGGTAATAAAGATACACAGGGTAAGGATAATGGGTAGGAGGCCCAGCTGTGGGCAGTTGTGGGGGAAGCAATGATACTCCACTCTGTCAAGTGACAGGGTGAGGAGGGTCCCAGCCCTGCTGGCTTCCTACCACACCTTAAAAGACAGTATCTTCTTTTTGGCAGGAGAACAGGACTTTATTAGCATGATACAGGCACTGTGTTACATAGAAACGTGGCATGCATTGCCCCAACTGAGCTTTGAGCAGTTAAATCTTAGCAGAAACAGTCACCATTATAACTTCAAACAAAGGTTGGCAAGTTCATTTTACAAAAAGATTTTTAAAAAGGAGCTGGGTGTGTTGGGACACACTTGTAATCCCCAGGAGTTAGGAGGCTGAGGCAGGATCACCTTGAGTTCAAGACCAGCTTGGTCAACATAGCGAGACAGTCTCAACAGCACCTCCCTGAAAAAAAATAAAGGAACCCACCTCCCCCTTCTTAGTATGCTGGGGATTGAACCCAGGGCTTTGTGCATGCTAGGGAAGTATTCTACCACTACACATCTAGCCCTTAAAATCCACTTTTTGTATCTTAATCAACAGCTTAAGCAGCAGAACATTTCAAATCCCGACATGTGACCAGTCACCTTCTGATCATGCTGGAGCATGTGTACATCTTTTCCCACACCGGGGATTTCCTGATTTTTTGAAAAAGCCTTATTTAAGAATTTTATGTTTATCTTTTAGAGTACTTTATATTCCCAATTTTTATTCTTTGAGTTTTTAATTTTGCAAGAATATTAGCAAATAACCGTAACAGCCTCACTTGAGTGCAATGGAGCTGGTAGGAGGCCAGGCTGAGCCTCTCCCCACCGTCCTGCTGGAGCGGGGCAGTTTCTCCTCAGCCTGGCCCAGAGGCTGTGGGAGCCAGGGCTGGCGCTGTTGGATGTGACTCCTCTGGTGCAGCCTCCTCCAGGGGACAGAAGTGGCCCTGGGGCGGGGCTGTGGGTGGTGCTGGGACAGAGAGGGCTGACACATCTGAAGGTGCAGGCTGGAGTTCATGGTTCCCTAGTGTGAGGTTCTATAAGGAAAGGACAGGGGAGGGCAAGTGTGGACAGCTGGGCTCCTTTTTGGTGAGGGCAGTGGGCCTCGGGCCATATGGTGAGACCAAAGGAGGGCCAGAGCCCCTGTTGCTCACCCACTGTGCTTCTCAGGGCTCCAGGGAAGATCTGACTCCTTCCCCTCTAGGGAAGCCATGGTCCTGGCTGTGCATGAAGGGAACGGGGTCTCCTTCTTCTCATATACACCCCTGGCTCCTAGAATGTGGCCTGGCTCAGGCACTCGCTATTTTGTTTTGTTTTTTTGATACCAGAGATCGAACTGGGGGCCTTGCACTTGCAAGGCAGGCGGCAGCACCACTGAGCTAAATCCCTGGCCCTACTCGCTAAATTTTTGAAAAATGAATGAACAGATGACTAAATGACCATCCTGTTAACAGGGCTGGCTCTGAGCAGATTTGTACAGTGGACCCAGTTTGCTCTTAAGGCCACTTCAAGGCCACTCTTGCTGTGTCCTTCTGTCTCAGGGTCATTTCATGGCCCCCAGGCACTGGTCATGGAATCTGCCTCTGAGCCAACCTTCTACATGACGATGCTACCCTGACCTAGAAAATGAGGGTCAGGGCGGGAGAAGTGGACGTCAGGAGGTGGAGTTAGATGGCAGTGCTGTTCTTGACATCTGAAGAGGAGACAGCTTTGGGCAGTGAATCTGATTTCCTATGAGATCCAGGAAACACTAGCCATCCTTGACCTGAACACATTCGGTCTGGAAGGTAGACAATCCCAAGGATGAGGAGGGTGACCAGGGTTCTGAGTCAGGTGCTGAGGTGCTGGGACAAGGTGAGGAGGAGTCTCTGAGGGAAAGGGAGAGGTCAGGGTCTGAGGAAGGGCTCTTTCCTGATGGTGCCACCAGAGGCCCTCCGGAGCCTGGAGCTGTCCCCAAGGAGGTAGGTTGGGATGAGATAGGATTGAGCAGTCTCCACAGAGTGGCCCCATTCCTGCTGGGAATAGGAATACCTCCACCCTGACCAGTAAGGACCTGTCCCTCCCCACTCCCCAGTTAGGGCTGGCACTCACCTGGAGGCTGAGCTCTCATCAGAACTCAGGGATCTGGAAACACTGGAGAGGGTTGGATGTGGCCTCGCACACTCCCAGAGCCTGCCAGAGGGAGTGTTAGGGCTGCAACTCCCCACTCCCAGCTCTGAGGGGGACACGGAGGCTCCCCAGAAGGAACAGCTCTCATTTCATCTGCTACCTGGTGGGCACTCTTGGTGTGACCCCATAGACTCCTAGTGCCACTGGGGGTATTCGCTCCACTACATTCACTCTGTCCCCACCCCAGGCACACACTGGCCAGAGGACACAGCCCCATCCCACAGTGGGCATCACACCACACCTGTCAGGCTGTCCCTCCCCTCCCATGCGACTTCTTTTCCTTTCTGTGGTGGTGTTTTCTCTCCCTCTCTGTGACCAAGGCCTTTCCTACATGAAAACATGGAGGGTGCCTCCTGGTCCCAGGCCCAGGACAGTGAGGCCCCTGAGGGTCATAGGCAAGAGGGAGCACTGTGGGAGCTTAGGGGAATCCTACAGCGTGGGTACCTGGCAGGCGGTGTGGGCATCCTTGCCCCTGGGTGCCAGAGCCAGCAGTTGGGGTGTGTACTGTTCCACAAATTGCTCACACTGAGGAAACACAGACAGGGTAAGTGGACTCAGGCTTTTCATGCCTTGACTCCTGCCTCTCTACCTCTCAGGGTCACTCTGGGGCTCCTTCTGGACCCCTGATGAGTGCCCAGTCATCAGCCATAAGGTAAAACTAAGACTGGGTAAAACTAAGACTGAACAAGTCTGAGGGGCTGCAATGCAAGATTTCTGTAGAAAAGCCAGGGCATTGGAGTTGTCTCCCTGGAAGAGACTCAGACTCAGTCAGCTTTCCTCAGGACACCATCTTACTTCCTCTTCTTTTTCTTTTTTTAGTTTTTTGAGATAGGGTCTCACTGTGTAGCCCAGGTTGGCTTTGAACTTGTGGCCATCCTCCTGCCTCAGCCTCCCGAGCCCGAGTGCTAGGATTATAGATGTGCACCATCTTGCCCAGCTCACCATTTTGCTTACAAAAGGGAATTTACTATCACCAACTGAGTGTTGGCAGGGCCTCTAGGCCCTTCAAGCCCAGCCCTCTCCTTTTGTAACTGGCCTTGTCCCAACTGAGCTATACTTTATACTGCGAGAAAGGTAGGGTAGGAATAGGACCAAGACTCTGGAAAGAAGGCCAGGCTGTTTCTGGCTCCAGCTGGCCCTGGCCTTACTCTTCTCCTGGTATCTACTGGACATGGTGTACACCACCCACTACTGGGAGGGCTACCATGGGGCACAGGTCTGGGCCAGCCACACCCAGCACCTCCTAGAGCAGAGGCAGGACAGCATGGGTCTTTCCAGGATTCGCCACAACTCAGTCATGAAGGAGCCCGCTGGTCTCCAGGCTCCCACAGCCTGAGCCTGGATTGACTCCTGCCCCTCCCACTCCCGCGGTGGTCTGGCTGTGTCCTGTCTATCTGGCCAGGCTCCAGTCCAGCCACCCTGTGTGTCTCTGCCTCAGCCTTTTCTATCCCCGCCCACCATCATGGCTAGACGCTGGGTCCCACGTCCCCGTGTGCTAGTCCTGTACCTTTTGCCTGTCCAGCGGGAAACTGAGGCAGGCCTGGCGCATGGCCTGCGGCCTGGCCTGCTCGCTGCTGTTCCAGGCCTGCGTGGTCACAGACATGCAGAGGCGGCACTTGGAGTTCTTTGACAGCCATTCTTCTGGCAGGGACAATGCAGGGAGGACTAGAGAGAAAAGGGCTGAAGCTGTCCTGTGGAAATGTCTGGTCCCTGCCCCACCTGCGCTGCAGGGCACCAGGGAGGGACAGGGAGCAGGAGAAGGTTGGGCATGGCAGGGAGGAGGCAGTGGGCAGGAGTGGGTGGCAGCAGGCTCACCTGGGCCAGCACTATTCTCCAAGGAGCACCGGAGGACGAGGCCGCACACCAGCTGGGGCAGCATTCGGCTCATGAGTGCATCCAGCAGAAGGACTGTGTAGCGCTCCGCCAGGCACTGGCAGATGCCACCCACCACCAGGGGTACCACGTGGCACACCTGGGCCACAGCCACGGCCAGCACACCCTGGGGCAGGGGTGGAGAGAGGGCAGATGGGACCTTCCCTTGGCAAGGCTCTTCTCTGTGTTTATTTTGGAGACGGGGTCTCACTATGTAGCCCAGGCTGGCCTCTCACTGGCAGTGATCCTCCTGCCTCAGCTTCTGGAATGTTGGCATTACAGGTGTGCACCACCACACTTGGCTCAGCGAGGCATTTTTTTACACTCATTTTTGTTCCCTTCCAGCAGGGAGAGGCCTGTTGCTTATAGATAAGGACACTGAAAGGCAGGGAGACTAGAGGACATCAGAGATACTGGAAGTTGCTGAGTGACTGCAGCAGCCGGCAGTGGACCCAGGTCTGGCTTCTCAGGCTCTAGGCTCCCTGGAAGGGGCATAGCTGGGCCAGAGCTGAAAGTAGCAGCTGAGTCTACTTCAACTGATCCAGGCCTCCCTACATCCCATGGCTCAGCAGAATGCCTGGTGGCTCCTACCTTTGGCTACTAGAGCCAACATGGCCCTGGTTTCAGGAACCCTGGGGAAAGCCAGCAGTTTCCCAGCCTCACCCCAGTTCCAAACTCAACCTCTGAGCCAGAGGGCAGGTGAGAGGCAGCAAGCATGTGGCTTCTTCCCTCGAGCCTTCATCTCTCCCAACATGTGCGGGGCTGGCCCTGTGCCGGGGTGGAGCGAGGAGGGGCTTAGCAGCACGTGCTTCTCTAGGGTTCATGTCACCCCCTGCTTGATTCTGATACACACTGGCCTCCTCTCCTGCTGCGATGTCAAAGCCCAGGTGTCACTAGTGCACGGTCCCAGCTGCCCCTCCTACTCCCCTTCTAGAACAGCTTCTGGGTGATGCGGGCAGGACTTGCTGCTCTGCTTCATTGTCTCCCATTGTCCCCAGAACCTGTTACTTTTGGCTTCTTTCCTATTTTTTGTTTTGAGACAGGTTCTCACTATGTAGTTCAAGCTGGCCTTGAACTCATTATGTACCCTAGGCTGGCCTTGACATTGCAGCAATCCTTCTGCCGCAGCCTCCGAAGTGTTGGGATCACAGGTGTGTGCCACCACACCCAGCTTCTATTTGGGCTTCTGCCTCCAAACAGCTCTCTGGTCACCAACAACCTCTCTCTTGCCACATCCACATCTCTTGTCATCCCTCACCTTGCCTAATCATCAGCTGCTTTGGCCCATGTGAATGCTCCTCAGCTCCAAACACCTTCCCTAGGCTTCTGTGTTGCCACACCATGGTTCTCCAACTCACTGACTGCCCCTCTTTTGCTGCTGCTCCCCTTTGCCTGCCTGGGCCTCCTGCTGTACCTGTCCACACCCTGACCCTTGGTGCGGTTCACCTGGTCTGCAGCCAGTGATGTGCAGCAGATGTCCCCACGGCTTGATGTCCAGCTCCTACTTGAGCTCTCTCCTCCTGGGTGTGGTACAGGCAACTTCAGTTTAACACGGCCCATAGAGAATGCTCTGCTTACCCACTAGAACCTCATCCTTCTCAAGTGCCCCATCTCCGCTGGTGGCGCCCAGAGACCCAGAGTCTACAGGGGTCATCAGGATTCGTTTGCTGTCCTCACTCCCCAAGCCCACTGATCACCAAGACCACCTAAGCCTGCCTTCCTGTAGTGTCCCATCCACCCTCTCACTCTGCCCCTGCCCCATACCTCTCCTGCCATTTCCGCAGGAATCTCCTATTAATCTCTCTTTTGTCCTTTCCCCTCCCTCTCTGCCCAATCTGCCCTGTAAACATTGGGAACGATCTTCCCCCTGCTTGAAATGCTGCAATAGCTGTAAACTGCTTTCAGAACAAAACCTTTTGTCTCTTTTTTGTTTTTCCTTTTCGTAGTACTGGAGACTGAATCCAGGACCTTGCATGCTAGGCAAGCACTTTACTACTGAGCTACATCCCAAGCCCTTTTTATTTTTTATTCTGAGGCAGAGTCTCACTATGTTACCTGGGCCAGCTCCAAACTCAAGATCCTCCTGCCTCAGCCTCCTGAGTAGCTGAGAATATAAGCTTATACCAGCATGCCCAAATTTTTTAATTAAAAATTTTTTTTCAATACTAAAGATGGAATCCAGAACCTCACACACATGCTAGGCAAACACTCTACCACCAAGCTACACCCCACTCCAAACCCCTCATGTCTTAACCTGGTGTGACAAGGTCTAGATGGCCTGGCTGTGCCCAGCTCTCTGGTCTCTCCTGTTGGCTGTCCCGGGGCAGCCACACTGGCCTGCCAGGCTCATCTTGATCAAGGCCCATGGCCCATCACAACCTCATTGCCCTCTTGTTCTCAGTTGAACTGTCACCTTCTCAGGGCCTCTCCCAGACCTACAGCTTAATCCCCATCACCGTCTGTCACCTTGTCCCATGTGACCCTCTGCTCTGGCACTGTCTGAACCCCACCTCGGCACAGTCTTGGGCAAAGCAGCAACCTCGTCCAGGGCTGCGGGTGCTCAGTGACCAGGTGGCCTGCGGGATCCCACTTGGGCAGGGCTGAGGGGCTCCCTGGGTAAAGGCCATGACAGATCTGGAAGACCACACTGGACACGGGCAGCAATGGGGAATCTACCCGTGGAAAGGCTCTTTTGGAGACATGAAAGCATCTCTTCTGTATAATGGATGTTGGGAAATGGGAAGAAAGTATTCAAATGGGAAGGGGAACAAGGGAGGAGGAAGGAAGGAAGAGACAAGAGAAAAAGTGAAAATAGAAGGAAAAAATGGAAGCAAAGTTTTTGTACATAGGGAGGGGAGGGACCTTGAGGGTGGAAATGGAATAAAATAAAATACAATTTATAAAATAAATAAATAAATAAATAAATTTTTTTTCAAAAAACATTTCTTCTTCAGAGCTACCTGGACTCCTTGACTGGGAGCTGCTGAGGACGAGTCCAGGCTCATCTGGTCTTACATGCCGGCACCTGGCCCAGTGCCTGGCATAGCAAGGCCCCAATGCTCTCTGAGTGAACTCTGGGCCTGGCACCCCTGGGCCAGAGGCTCAGGGTCCCTTGGGAGGGGACAGTACAGCAGACCTGATGGTGGGAGATGGAGTGGGGGAGAAGGAGGTGTAGGGGGCCCTCCTGGACGCCTCACCTTGGGAATCATGGCTTGGACCCGCTTGAGCAGTGTTCTGCAGAGCCAGCAGAAGGGCAGTGGGATGGGGAGCTGCTGCTCGGAGAGATCCTGGGGGAGGGAATGAGGCAGGAGCTGGGCCTGGCTAGAGAAGCTGTGCTCTCCTCACAGGCCGGATCGCCACCTCCGCTTTTCTCCCTTCTCCTTTAGGCCATGCCAGAGCTTCAGGTGCCTTCTGGCACTGCCCCTCCCAAGACCCAAGTGTGCCTGGCTCCCAGTTGCCCTTCTAGCCTCTGGCCACGGGGGCCACCTCACCTGGGTGTGAGGTCCAGGCCACACTGAGAAGGCCCTTGGCAGCCGGGGCGGCACCAGCTTGTCCAGCAGAGGCTCTGACAGAGAGTCAGGCAGAGGGTCCTGCATCCCTGGCTCTGGCTCTGATTCTGGCTGCCCAGGTTTACACAGGCCAAGGTTCTGGCAGATGTCCTTTGGGGCCTAGGAACAGTGCAGGTGAGGGGCCATAGAGGCAGAAGGGGACCCCAAGGGCTCTGGGACAAGGGCCACTGTCTTGGGGCATGGAGTGGAGGGGGACAGGTGGGGGCTCTATGCTGGAGGACAAAAGGCAGAGGCAGAGTCATGTGGGAACTTGGGGCAGATATCTAAGAACCTGTGTGATGAGCGTGAGCACTGGTGTGAGAATAAGTGTGAGAGTGTGCCTGGGTGTGTGCTGGGGCTTGGAGCTGCTGACCTGGTGGGACTGATCCAGGTGCCTGCTGAAGGGCACTTGGTTTCTTGGGCCATTTGCGGGCAGGGTCAGTGTGTGTGTCTGGCTGAGGTACTGTGTGTGCATGTGTGTATCTGCCTTGCACGTGAGTCACTGGTCCTAGTGTGCTTGTGGTCTGTGCAGGGAGGCAGGTGGGAGGTGAGGCTGGGAGCCCTCACGATGTAGCTCTGGAAGTAGTCGATGACCAGCGGGAAGTAGTCTTCGAGCACACGGTGGCACCGGGGCACGAGCAGCTTCAAAGGGAGGATGTCACACTCACGGTCCAGGAACTTCCAAATGGTTTTCTGGGAGGACAGAGGGGACAGTTAGCCTGGTCTCTCTGAGTTCTGCCCCTGCCCCTCTCCCTTGATGCTGGGCTGCCAACAGTGTGGACTGGCACTAGGATTAAGAGTGCCAAAGGGTTCACTTGCTGGGCACAGGCAGGGCCTCTCCTGCTTGGGCCAGACCATCTGTGGTGAGTTCACTCCCAGGGTCTGGACCTGGCCAGGAGGAGCTTGGAGTCTCAGGCCTCACCTCCTGGCTCTGTCCCTCATCTATTGTTCCCCAAACTTCAGCCAGGATCTGGGCCTCATCACCTGGAAAATGGCCTCCTTGGCCATCTTTGTGAGGATGTGGATGATGTCCTCACACTCTTGGCACAGGTTATCCTAGAGGGGGGACCCAAGGTGGGGACAGGTGAGTGGGACCCTCTCAGGCACAGGCTGACAGGATCGTCCAAGGGATAAGCAGTCCATGCCAACCTTCCCATCCGCCCCCCATCCCGCCCCATCTATTCCCGAACATCTTACTACATCCCATTTGATGTCATCCCGGTCCATCCATCTCACCCCATCCATCCTACCTTACCCAATTCTGTGTCATCTTTTCCATCCATCTTCCATCCACCCATCCCACTCCTCCCCCATGGAGGCTTCCATCCCCTTAGGCCCATTCAGAGCCCTTCTGGTGCCCTTGGGTGGTACTCACAGCTCCCACATGTCCCCAGACTTCTTGTAGGCAGTGTCCCAGGGCTCTGCACTGCAATGCTTGCTCCAGGCTTTGGCACCAGAACTTGGGACCCTGGGTACAGGCCAGGGATGAGGCGGTCCAGACAGCTAAAGTTTGGGGCCAGAGCAACCTTGGTCAGGATCCAGATGAGGCAGCTTGATTACACCCAGCCTCAAATTCAATTTGCTGGGGATGCAAACACATAAGAGCTCTGGGTTCTTCCTGCCCTAGTTCCTGCCAGTTGTGTGACCTTGGACAAGCCCAGGAGCCTCTCTGAGCCTCAGATGACTTTAAAATGAGCATTATGTGCAGACCTGGGGTGACTCTGGGCACAGAGCTCCGTGTGTGGTGGAGATGACTCTGAGAAGGAGGCCAGGGCGACTCACCAGCACCAGTGCCACATAGCGTGGGCAGCAGCAGCAACCAGGGCAGCAGGTGTGACTTGGCCATGACACCACTGCAGCTGGGTGCCCAGGGTGGCCAGGGGCTCTTATAGCCTGGGGCAGGGCTCCGTGGAGCACTGAGACCTCAGTGTTTTCCTTCATCCTGGAGAGCCCTTCAGGTGCTTTGGTTCCACCTCTTCCCAGCAGAGACACCCCTGCCCGCCCTCCCCTGCCTGGCGGATGGCCTGTCTCTCTCACTTCGCCCCTGCCCTAACTCCCATGGGCCAGGACTTGTGGCTCCCTTCCATCAGGGAGCTTGGTCCCAACTCTTGGGGTTGTGGGAGGTAAACTGAGGCAGGGTCAGTGTTGGGAAGCAGCCAGGGTGATTTCCCCCTAGCCGCACCCAACATCTGCTGGCCTCCTTGTTCTTGAGCAATGCTCTTAAGAGCTTCCTGCCTGGCTCTTGATCCAGGCTGAGCACTGGAAGGGCAAACCTGGGACCCTCCTGGGGCTCCTACCTCCTACCACTTCCTTGCCTTTTTTCCTCCTAGAAAAATCCTCTGGTTCTATGGACACATGGTTGATATTAGTCAGAAAGGGTTTATGTAAAACAACAATAGAAAGAAAGTGTCCCGAAAGTCAGAGATAGGGATGTGAATGGCAGCTGAGATCGCTGTGGCCCCCAAATGGCTCTCAGCTCTATCAGGGGCTGCTGCCCTTGTCTCCTTGGGACTGCTGACAGTTCGGGAGGAATGGGCCTATGCAGCTGCAGAGCCCTCAAGCCAGGTCCCCACTGGGCAGGGCACATCAAACCCGTAGCCTGCTGAGGGCAGCGCTGCTGGGGTGGAGGGAGTGAGCAGTAGCACAATGCCACCAAAAGGCCACCACCCTGGTGATGGTGAGCTGGACCCTGACCTCAGGCGAGGCTCCCAGGTCCCCAAGTGGCAGGAAGCGCCCCAGGGCTCAGGGGCAGGGAACAAAGGAGAGAGTCTTGTGATGCAAGACAAGGGGACACAAGTGGTAAAGTGACACAATCTGGATCACTCAAGGATTTGTACAGTTTCTGTTGGCCTCAAGCCCTGGTCACTATGACAAACATAGCTGCTGGGCCGGGGATTTAGCTCAGTGGTTTCGCCGCCTGCTACAAAGCACAAGGACCCGAGTTCGATCCCCAGTACCAAAAACAAAACAAAACAAAACAAACACAGCTGCCACCGTGGGAGTTAACCAAGAGTGTGTATAAATGTGTGACCAAAGACGAGGAAGCCAGTGACTTGCACGAAGGCTAGGGATGGAGAAGCTGGAATGGGTGCGTGATTTAGTATGTGGCAAATGCTGGAGCCACAGGCTGGGGCATAACTCAGCAGGACAGCGTGTGTGGGGCAAGCAGGAGGCAGTGGGTCCAGTACCCAGCACCAAAACCACAAAACCCAACAACAAAAGCAATGAGCTTCGCAGCGACAGGTTTGGATACAATCAGGACAGGCTGAGCAGAATAGTGGGATTTATGAGTGGCACTGCAGGACTGTGATGGCCTGGGTCATCCAGCCGCTGTAACGAGAGCTCACCAGGCTCTGGGCTCCACATATCTGTGCTTCTTTCTCCCTCACGTTGCTGTGCAGAGCAAGTCAGCTTCTGGGAAGCTGCAGTCCGAACAGCCATTCAGGGGCCCAGGCCTCTCCCTTTGCTTCTCAGAGGGCTCCAACCCCTCCCTGCATCCCCTGCTTCTGGCCAGCTGGGCATGAGAGAAGGGGTGGAAGATGGTGAGGGGGGATTTGGGGTCTGGCCTAGAAATGGTGTCCATCATTGCTACCCTCTCACTTTAGTCACAGGGCTCCACAGTACACTAGAAAATGGCACATTCCCGTGCACCAGCAGGAGCTGGGGGACATGGCACTGTCTCAGACCCTCCCTGTGGATGCAGAGCTGGGTGCTTGAGGGGAGTTTCTAGGTAGTGGGTCTGTGGCTTCCATTGGACCCTCAAAAGGGAACCTCCAGACTGTTGAGAGCTGCTATCCAAGAGCGCAAATAAAGGAAACACCCCCAGCCAGCTGTTGACAGGGCTGTCCCAGCCTGGCCAGGGGTGAGGGTAGCCTGGCTCACAGGGACAACTCCTGGCTCTATGTTCTGAAGAATGTGCCCTGGAAGGTCTCTGATCAGAATGGGACTCTCATGGGGTACAGCTGCAAGTCAGCCTATGTGGATCTGCCTGGACAGGAACGTGTCACCTGGCTACCTTCCCACTGTAAATGAATAAAGAAACATTCTAAAGAAAAAAGAAAGGGAGCTGGGCATGGTGGCACACCCCAGTAATCCCAGCACTGTGGGAGGCTGAAGCTGGAGGATTTTGAGTTTAAGCCCAGTTTGGGCAACTTAGCAAGACCTTGTCTCAGAATAAAAAATAAAAAATGGGCCAAGGATGTAGCTTAGTGTGAAGGCCCTGGGCTCAATCCCAAGTACTGAAACAGAAAAAAAAAAAAAAAGGAAACAAGGGGGGAAAAAAAGAAGAAAAGAAAGGAGAGGCCTGCAAGTTTGGTCAGTTTGTGTGTAGTTGCAGAAGTCTCCCCTCAGCGGTCATGGAAGAAAATCTCATTTCTCTGTTTGATCATGGACAACAAGAGGCTCCCAGGTATGAGACTAGGGAGAGCTGGAAGCTGATATGAAAGAGGATCAGTGGAGAGTTTTATATTAAAAATCTCTTTTACATCCTTTGTATGAGCAAAGAGGCAGCAAATTCTTTTGTGTTCTTTTTGTGGCATTTTGAGCTGCCTTTTCCTGGTAGTTCTTGGGCCTAGGACTCTCTTCCTCACCCATGCCCACTCTTGAATTTATTTTGTTGGGAGCAGTTCTACATAATTTTGGGAAAATCATTTCACAATTAAATTATGAGTAAGTCTAGTTTTCCTGCCTATAAGCCAGCTATGGCATGTCAAGACATAACTCCATTTTTGCCTCCAGGCACAACTAAAACCTCAATGGTCTGGTGATGCTGTGATGCTGTAGGGCAGGGTTATATCAATTGAAGACATCCTGGGGAGGAACAAATTCCTAATCAACATAAATTCCTCAGTGACCTAGGATCTTCATCATAAATTCATTGTTCCAGGATTATGGATGCAGCCCTCTGAGTCATCTGTTACTCCTGATGTACCAATAAAGGGGTGGCAAGCACGGGGTCTTTCCTCTTTGCTGCCCAGAGCAGCATTGATCAGGCCCAAAGCTCAGTTTCTTCTCTAAGTCTTGTTTCCTTTCTTTATTAATTAATTTGACTTGCACTATTGTGGCTCACAGGAGATTAGGGCTCACTGAAGGAGTTCTGGTAACATCCCCTTTCCCTGTTCCTTACATATTTGAGCATCCTTTCTGTTTCAGAGGCAGCAACCATGGGAAATCCAAGATGAATGCCACCTTGGAAGGTCTTGTGACAGACTTCCTGAGGCCAGTCTCTTTCTCATGTTTTTTCTTTCAACAAAGGGGGTTTCTCTAGAGGAGAGCAGAGGAGGGGGGCCTTGACCTGGAACTTTGAGCTCATGGAGAGCTTTAACTCCCTCATTCATCTGACTAAAACATGGTCAATGAGCTGGGAGTTGGGAGGGCAGGGGTCACTGCCCTGGTGGACTTACATTTATGGGGACACCAACCAGGCCTGGGGAGGAGACTCCAGCGAGGACAGCTAAGTGGAGACTTGAGGACCAGAGGAGTTGAGTTGACCTGATAATGTGGTGGGTGGTCCAGGTAGAGGGAACCACTCCAGCAAAGGCTCAGGAGAAGAGAGGGCATGGGCCTGACATATGGATTATTTCTTCCTATTTGATGGAGGAAGCAATAGAAGCAAACTGTGGGTTTAGAGTAGTGGGCAGCAAAGTGGGTGACGGCCAGCCTTCAATTCCCACCTCCCCAGTCAGCTGGGATGAGCAGACAGCAGGGATTGTAAATTCAGCACCAGCTGCGAATCAGCAGGGCAGGGTTCAAGCAAGGAAGATCCTTTATTTGTAAGGAGGAAAAAGAAGAAGACAGAAAGCTGCCCTGAAGAGGGGAGAGGGTGTTCCAGAAAGATGGATTCCCATGGGCCCTTTGTCTCCTACTCCTTAAATTAGGTTTTAAGGCCCCTGTCCCACCAGGTGGGCACCTGGAATTTGTCACAATCTGATTGGCTCTCTGGGCTCAGATCCTGTTTGCTTTTCACCTCTTCCTTTTATCTTGTTAATTGTTCCTTCCAGTAAAGTTTTAACTCTTTCCAGTCAGGATTAGCCAGGAAACCCAATGAGGCCCTTATTCTACTCTTTCCCTGTCTATAAACCCCTTTCCCCTACACAAGCAGCCCCAAGGCTCTGGACCTGAGCTTCTGTGAGTAACGAGATCAGCCCCCTTTTCTCCTTCTGTCTCCCCCAGCTCAGCTGGAGTCTGTCTTAGACAACTGATAGGAAGAGTTGGCAATGTTAGCTTTGATCTTCACATCCTCTTTCCCTCTTGTGGGTTGAATTTTGTACCCCTAGAAGATGTGCTGAAGTCCTAACCCCTGGGATCTGTGGACTTTTTTGAGAAGTCTTTGCAGATGTAATGGTTGGGATATGGTCATAGGGTGGGTCCTCATCTGGTGACTGGTGTCCTTATGAGAAGGAAGTTTGGACACCAAGAGGGTGTCATGTGACAATGGAGGCAGAAACTGGAGTGAGACAGCTGCAAGCAAAGGAGCACCAGGGGTCACAGCAACTGCTGGAAGCTGGGAAGAGGCAAAGAAGATTCCTCCCTCGGGCCTGGAGAGGGAGCGTGGGCCTGGGGACAGTGACTGCAGACCTCCTTCTCCAGCACTGTTAGCTCCTGTCATTTTCAGCCACCCACTTTGGGGTGCTGTGTTGGGACAGCCCTAGGAACCTGGCACAGCTGCTCCCCACCCCCCTGCCCCCCGTGTGTTCATCCTCTCCTTCCCTGTGCCAGCATGCAAGCCCAAACTTTCCAGACCCTAAGTAAGCCCCAAACGCAGCTAGCTCAGTTCCTGGCATTGCCGTTGTGTCCTGTGGTGGAAGAGTCTGACCACAGTGGAGGCCCAGGACTTCGCATCTTAACGCAGAACAGGTTTTGAGAAGGGATGGGAAGCTGGT